ATTGAGGTTGTGTGGGTGGCAGCCACTCGATGGGTCTCTCTCACATCGATGTTTCTCTCTCTCTCTTCCTCCCTTTTTCCCTCCCGTTCTATCTGAAGATGAATGCAAAAATGTCCTCAAATGATGGTTTAAAAAAAAAAAAAGAAAGAAAGCAGAGAAAGAAGAGGCGGGTGCCAGAGACAGACTGGAGGTCTTAGTGTTGTTGAGTACGGGTTCTACCCTCAAGGCCCCTCACTAATCCTGCGGTGTCCAGACCTTGACTCTGACTCCCGGTCCTGGAGGACAGGGCTGAGGTAGAAATGAAAGAGGTTAGACAGAAAGCCAGTCCTGGGCTGTTGGGTAGGAACAGAGATAGAGACAGTTTGGAGAGTGAGGCCTGGGGGCAGGTTGAGGGTGCCCAGTTTGAGATGTCTGCCTTCCCCATTCCTAGTGTGGGTCAGCGGCAGCTCATGTGCCTGGCCCGAGCCCTCCTTCGCAAGAGCCGAATCCTGGTTTTAGACGAGGCCACAGCTGCCATTGACCTGGAGACCGACGACCTCATCCAGGCGACCATCCGCACCCAGTTTGAGACCTGCACGGTGTTGACCATTGCACATCGGCTCAACACCATCATGGACTACACCAGGTGGGGCACCAGAACCCAAGCAGGGAGGGCCGTGGTAGGGTCACCTGGGCCACTGGGGAGGTTATCTGGATGTGTGACCTTGGGCAATTCGATGCACCTTCCTGAACCTCTGTCTCTCAGGGTTATAGCAAGAGTCAATGAAGTAAAGCGTCCCGAGTGCAGGAGATCCTGGGAAATGTTGGTTTCCTCCCCAGCTCCTTACTGTAATTCTCCCTAGTACCATTTCGTCAGAGGATTAGGAAGGAGGCCTTGTCCTTGGAATCTTATGGCTTCTTTAGAGAGGCAGCTCACTCAGCCAAAAGGAAAGACTGTGACCTATTCCTTCACTGTGCCCAATGTCAAAGTGTGGTGCTGGAGGACAAGGGGAGGGTCTGAGTGACTCAAGCCTCATGGAAGTGAGCTGGTGCTGGCTCCGCAGGCTGGCCCCTCAGGGAAATGGTCACTCGGAATGAAGGAGAGGAGGCAGGACTCAGCCACAAATCTCTGCTGAAGGAGGATGGTGCAAGTACGTGGACAGACCTTCATTCACAGAACCAATGCCCACGGGGTGTGGGAAGGCGAAGACGGTGCCATGGACAGGGCAATGGGCAGCTGTTGTCCCTCTTTCAGAAGTGTTCCCACACAGCCCCCAGGGGCTTGGGCACCGAGCTACGGATGCCCTATGCTATGGTCTGTCTGTTCCATCCCTACCCCACCCCAACCCCCATTCCCATCCAGGACCCCACTGGAAGAAGAGAAGGGAGGGTGGGCAGAAAGTACTGGGCGCTGGGTCCAGATAAGGGACAGGGCTGGCTTAGAGTACCTGTTTTGAGACCTAACGGAAAATGGTTTTCACCAGCAGCCCTGAGGGGAGAAGGCTCAAACTAACCTTGGGAGTGGGAAGTTATTCATTCTAGCGGGGCTGACAGAAATGAATCAAATAATCATGCCACTGAACATGTAATCAGAGCCTTCAGGAAGGAAGCAGGGGTCCGGAGGAGCGGGGTGGGGCGGGGGGCAGTTTACCCAGGGCAGCCAGGACACTTTCTCTCCTAAGGAAGGGAAGCCCCAGCCAGGCCCTACAGGATGAGTAGGAGTTGGGAAGCAGGGGAAGAGATAGGGTAGGGAGGAAACTGAAAATGTCAGGCCAAGGATGCAACACATGCAAAGGCCCTGAGGTAGGAAGGCACATGAGCCAGGGTGCAAAAAGTGAAGATGGCAGTAGAACCAAGATGAGGAAGAGAGAGACAGACCCCACTCTGCTGCCTTTCTAGGACCATGGTAAAGCATCACATACCTGAAGTGCAATGAGAAGCCCCTGAAGGGAGAGGGCAGTCTCCTGGGCTCCAGTATGGGAAGTGGCCAGGCAGTGATGCCCACAGACACACTCCTTCCCGGGACATGTTTCTGGGTGCCCCATAGCTGGGGAAACAGAGTACAGTCTATACCCTCCCATCCAGAGGCATCTCCCCAGGCTTAGAAGAGCCTTTTCCACTCCTGCCTCACCCTAGGAGCCAGCCTGTCGGCCCTGTACTAGGTGCACCCTGTGATTATCCCGGGCCCAGGTCTGACGGTTGTGTGTGGGCGGGGGGAGATCCACCCATCGGCAGCGGCCAGATTTGCAGCCAAAGCCCCAGATTCCAGTGTCAGGGCTCATTGCAGCCCGGTTTCCCGCCGTGTGCCTTTGTGAGTTGGCACAAAGCAGAGGGAAGTACACAGGGCCCAGCGCACAGGCCCGTGGCTCCCCCATGCATAGTCCTGTGACCCTGGCCAGAAGAAAGGCTCATTAGGGAAGGTTTTTGGAGCTCTGACCAAAAGAGATGAATAGGAACCTTGTGTTTGATCCTAGAAACTGCCTTATCTGCTAGGAGAGCAAACGGAGAGGCTAAAATAACCAGCCTTGCAAGTGTGCAAATGTGGCATCGCAGCTGTGTTGGGTGGGTTGGCTACAGTGGGAGAGTTGGCATGTCACTGCAGGGCCTAAGCAGTACCCAGAAGGGCGAGGCTGGGCTGCGAGGCCAGGTCCGGGCTGACAGAGACCTGACCGCTTCTTTTCTCTGTCTAGGGTCCTCGTCTTAGACAAAGGGACAGTAGCTGAATTTGATTCTCCGACCAACCTCATTGCAGCCAGAGGCATCTTCTACGGGATGGCCAGAGACGCTGGACTTGCCTAAAATATATTCCTGGGATTTCCTCCTGGTCGTTCCTGGTTTTCTTCAGAAAGGGAAAGGACACCAAATATGTCTGCAGAATAAACCTGACAGCAAATGCTAGATTTCTGCTCCTGTGAGGCTCTTCACAGGGTAACCGAGCTAAATGCTTTAGATGAGGAAGTGAGGCCCAAAGGTGCCCGACACGCCCAAGGTCACAGATGGTATAAGGCCAAGTTCAGACCAGTCCTGGGTCTCCTGATTCCCAGTCTCTTGTTCTTTTCCCACTATACTGCTCGCAGTCGTTTCATGGAATGACCTCCCTATCCCTGGATGATTTCTCATATTTTATATTCTGAAGTGTTGTTTTTTTTTAAATAAAGCTTTTTCCAGAAGATTGCCAGGGCAGGCCGTCCCTGAGAACTGAGTCCTGTACTCGGGAGTGCTGGCCTGAATCCATTAAAAGTGCTGCACTGGTGAAATGAAGCTGCGTGGTCAGTCACACACACACACACACACACACACACACACACACACCCCGATGTAAGCTTTCTCTGCCCAGCCACAGGTGTGGGGGTTAGGACCTCTGGAGGAGGCAGGGAGGAAGGGGGGGAGCGGAGGTAGACTTTATTATCCATCTACATGGTTAGAATTATCTGAAGGCTTCAGACCCAAGAGCTTTGGGCTGGAAATGTTGTCTTCACAGCCAAAATTCACTGGGTCCTCGCCAGTAGTTCCTGCTCTGCTCTGCAGATACTATAAAAAGGTGAGAAATAAAGCTCCTGAAAGCTGACCCGAGGCCTCTTGGGAAAGCTGTGTGAACACCTCCACGTTTCTGTCCTCCCTCGGACCTCCAAGCCTGCTTCTCTAGGGGCTGGAAGGTGCCCGGTGCTTTAATTCCTCCCTCTTTAGAAGTCCGTTCGAGACAGGTCCCCATAACCAGTGAGGCCTCCGAGTCCTTCGGCCCCCTCAGTTCGGCTGAAGCTGAATGTGAGAGGAGCACAGGGCAGCCCAGAGGCTGCCCCTGCCTTGACAGTCCCAGGCTGGTAAATGACAGGACGGGTGAAATAACTGCTTTCTTGAGCAAGCCAGTGATTTATTTTCTGCGGGTCAGTCTGTATGCAAGACCTTATATTTGGAACGGATCTCTCCTCTTTGTTACCCAAGTTTTCTGGTCTCCCCTTTCATGTCCTCATTCTGGGCGTGATGTGACTGATGGGTGATGGTTTGCAGTAGGTGTGTCGATGGTTCCCTTGGTCTGGTTTTGCTCCCTGCATTGGGTCAGCCTGTGCTGCAGGACCATTTGTTAAAGGTTAATTACATTTTTTTTTTTGGCAGGCTCTTTTGGCCCAGGATGTTTATGAGTGTATGGAAGAAGACTTCCATCCTTGATAAAGCAAGTATGAAAGCACAAATGCCCAAATTATTCTTCCTCTGGTTGGTGCTAAGAGAAGGTCTCTGCTATGCTCCCTGATTTATTAGATCAATTTGGCATGACGTCTGCTCTGTGAGGCTCTAGCTGCCTAAACCAACAGAAACACAGCTTCATTCAGCATCCTTCTCAGCTGAGGATCTGAAGGTGTAAAGCTGTATTTCCCTCTTCTGTCTGGGGAGCTTGCTTCTGAGCGCATTGAGGCCCTGACAGGTGCTGACAGCCCAAAGGAGAGGCTCAGTTGTGTGAAGTAAATAGGATAATCAGAAAACGTGGTTAATAGAGGATGACCCCCATCTAGCTGGCTCAGCTACTCCGGGGAAATGAAGCTGACTGCTGTGAACTAGGAGGAAAGACACCGCACAGATATGTCTCCGGTGCCACTGACGGGCACGAGCACCACAGCAGCAGCACGGAGGAGGCTGGGGACGGGGGGACACCGGTCCTCCCATTCTTCCTCCAGAGCAGACTGTCCAACAATTTGAAACTCTATGATTAGAAGTATAGAGCAGTTGCCCTGGCCAGTTTGGCTCAGTGGTTAGATTGCTGGCCCACAGACCAAAGAGTCACGGGTCCGATTCTAATCAAAGGCATGTACCTTGGTTGCAGGTTCGATCCCCGGCCCTGGTCAGGGTCATGAGGGAGGAAAATAATCAATGTGTCTATCTCACATTGATGTTTCTCCCCCCCCCACACACACCCATCTGAAAATCAATGGAAAAATATCCTCGGGTGAGGATAAAAAAAAAGGAAGTATACTGCTGTTTAGGAGGCCAAAATTAAAGAATATGGGCTCGGTCAGTCAATATTTAATTTTAATAATACTTGTTATATTTGAACAGTCAGCAATGCACAAAGAAAATTATCTTCAGTGAGTGTTTGCCCACAGTATGAACACATGCTTTAAATATGCAGTGGAGAGGTGGGGTGAATTCACAGTTAACAAAACTAAAAAAAAATCTTTGTTATAAATTACACAAAGCATATAAAAATATTTCTCTGAATGCATAGATTAAGACTTTAAACTCACCTACCAGCAACTGTGCAGTCTTATCCGACGGCCATACCTAGGAGTCACTGGACCACAGAGGACTTTATACAGAAGAGAGACCGGTGTGCGGTCCATCTCTCATCTGAGCTGCCAAGCCCCTGGCTCCCTCTGTTCCGTAAGCCCTGGAAATGGCCTGGACTACTCCTCTGCAGACCACCTCCCAGCCAAGGGCCTCCCCTGCTTCTGAATCTCTAATTGCTAGAAGAGATTTAACCCCAGTGATTTAGACATGAATTAATACTGAATTTATTTTCTCTAGGACAGAACTAATCTTAATTTTATCATTAAACTTTTTTAAAGGAAAGTGGGGGAAAGATTACTATGTCTAGATAAACTAGCTTCTGATTGGTTGAAACACAAGGGAGGTTTCTTTTTTAAAGTACTTCAGAGAAAGGGATTAATAAGTAACCTTTACTCTGCCATGCAAACACTGGACAAGGGTAAGTCACCATCAGTAAATGCTGGAATACAGTTTAGTCACTGAACAGCGTGACTCCATGAAGCTGGCCTTGCAAACACCTCAACCTCAGCTCAGCATTTGGGCAGCAGCAGGAGGCTGTCATCTTAGCACCACATTCTCTTCCACTGACATTTTCTGCACATTCTCTCTCAATCGTGTTCCAACAAAATTAACAGTTAGGAAGTTAAGTTTCTTTGGAAACTATAGGCACTATGGGGAAAAATCTTCTTAAGACAGCAGAGATGCTCTTCAACAGCTGGCCCCAAACCCTGCTCTCCTGACTCTGTGCTCATTCTTATCTCTCAAGTTAAGCTTTTTGTTTCAACAAGACTGTGGCGTTTCTTTTCACATGAATGACACTGGAGGGAAGGAAAAGAATTCTTGAATGCATTCTTTTAAAAAATTTTTATGCCATGTTCAAGAGTTTAATCAGCTGTGTGTTTTTTCCAGAACAAAGTCTGGTAGACTCACGATTGACTTTGTTAGGGATAATGGATTGATGGGGGTCATGGGGGATCCCTAAGATCAAACAATTTGTTTAAAAAAAGCAACAGATTTCAGAATTGTGTAAAAATTCTAATAATTTCAAAATAACCTTTATCTTTGATACAAAAATAAATATTCTAACTCCTTTAGCTCAGTTTCCCACAATAACCTTTAAAACAGCTACAGATTCAGTCTCAAAAATTGCTTTTCATTTCTAGTGGAAAATGAAAGTGGAGAACATGGACAGGCAATGTTTGTGCTCTTCTCATATGGTGCAATTAAACACAGAGATGGCAGGAATCATTTCAGTTTATAAAAAAAAAGTGGTTGCTCTTTTGGAAGGCATCGGAGAGCCCTCTAGTGACCACACAGGGGAGTTAATGCAGAGATGACTGTCTAGGGCTAGGCAATGGCTGACTAGAGACAGAAAAGCAGTCATGAGTGTTTACAAAGCAAAATGTGGGGGAGGGGAAGCTCTTTTGGTTAACAGCATATTTACAATTAGGTAACTGTATTCTTAAATACTTTTAACCTGAGTAACATTTATAAATATGTTATATGAAACCTCACAGCCACAAGTCACACTGAAACCCATTTGTCTAGTACCTGCGCTTTCCCATCAGTTCACATTTCAGGAGAGTTGTGAGCATGCAATACCAAGAAAAGCGCATCCTGGCCCTTCAGGAGCACTGTCAACAGGAATGGCTAGAAATAGGCTCCGCTCTCCCAGCTTCTGCTTAGACAACTGTCTTACATTCTGCACGTAAAACACTGGAATACAGAACCGTCGGCTCTGCCTCTCCATACCACTTCTCCACTGTTCACAGCTTCGAGCAATAGATTTATTGTGCACCAAGAGGCTTGGAAGAGTGGCACCGCTGCGTGGGGGTCGGGGGCTTCCTACCTTGGCAGAATAATGTTAGTGTACACTATCAGTGGCACCAGGGGCCCTCCAGCATCCAAGGCATTTAGATCAATGGCTTGTCCTTGGCCCAGAGGTGACACGCACTGTCATGATACTCAGTGACAGAAGTCCCTGCTGCACTAGTAAGTCAGTTTTGAAGCTCTCCTGTTGTAGCAAGGCCTTTCAGTCAGTGTGGATGCAGCATTTCTGAACAGAAAATTATTTTCACTTATTGTTAGAACCAGTTCCAGCTCTTGGAAATCTTGGAGTCGAGCAACATCTTTGTCCTAAAACAAAAATAGGTTAATCAGATTAAGAGGAGCCACTTGTCTCTATATATTTGGTATGCTGTGTTGAGTTGATACCAGTATCTTGGCTCATTTTAAAGCCTGAAGGAAAAAAAAAGAAAAAATCCCCATGGCAGGCTGTCAGTGACAGCGTAGGAATGTCCCCAGGGGTGTGAGCCAGGTTGGAAAAGTAGACGCCCTTATCAGCAGCTGCTACAGGATGAGCACACCATGAAGGGAGAGGCAATGCAGGAATCAGTTTTATTCAGGTGCTCTGAGAAGCCAGAAGCCTGATGTTCCAAAAACCCAGAGATGTTGGGAGGACCACACATGTATCTATGTGGGTTTGCCCTATAATTTAACCTCATTCTGATAGTGCACTAAGGTAATCCTTTTAGATCACTACAGAAACAACTGAAAACAGATACGTGTGAATGGTAATTCAGAAAATTCTCTCTGGTATCCTACGACTTTCAGAAAGGCCAATGTCCCTATAGACCCAGTAGAGGGAAAGAAAGCTCAATGATTGTATTTGGAAAACCACCCTTTGTTCTTTTTCTATTATCTTTTTATTCTTCAACTATGACTCATATAACCAAGAAGGAGACTGGGTCTTTTCCAAATGCAAAAAAGCAACCAACCACCCATGCTTGACAGACCTTTCCTTACCTTTCTTACCAGAGTATTGGGTAACTTTCTGATCTTCTCCACTTGATCTGGATTAACACCTAGCTCACAGCAACTCACTCTGAGCAATTCTTGGTAGGTGAGCTCCTGTCGGTCCAGTTCAATTTCAATAAAATCATTTTCTCGAAGAGATGGGTTTTGAATCCTTACTTTGAGTACTAGCTCTGGGGAAAAAAAAGGGGAAAATGTTAATGAGTGGTTCTGGCATAATCAGCCCATGTAATGTAAGATCTTTTCCAGAAGATGGCTGTACTCACTCACGTCTGTGCCACCCAATGAGAGAAACTAGGCACCATCGGCAAGATTTGCTCGAGCCCAGTCCCGGTTCTGCTGGCACAGCTTCCTGCACTGTCCTCTCTACTTCTAAGTCTGTGTGTGCTTCAGAAGTACAGAGCGGGGTGGAGGTGGGCTGGGGAGGGCACAACCCTCACAACTGTATAGAGGATAATTTATTTCTGCTGCTGGAACTAGGGAGGTAAAGGCTTAAGAATGGGTTTGGGAGTCAAGCTGCACATAAGCAAGGAAAGGAGAAGAGCACTGAAAAGAATCATGGGCAAGATACGGTACGTGGATTACTCTAAAAAGGGTGACCAATTTTGGATCTAAAGGTGTTTATGGAATATGCAATTCCTTTATTAAACACAGTAAAAGGGCAAAAAGCTACTAATAAAAATTAAAGTCTAATTATGATTTGAATACAGTACACATTAATAAAGGAGGAGTTTTGGCTCTGGGAGTAAACATCTTGCTGTACAAGAAAGTAAGGTAGTTCTCCAAGAAGGATGGGACATGTCCAAGAGACACGAGAACTGGCTTGAAGAAGCTCCCTCTGTACAAATGTGGCATAATTTAAACTAATAGTGATGGATTATAACCCAATGAAGCAAACAAGAACCTCTGAGTTCATACTGATACATAAATGGAGGAGAAGGGAAAGCCCTTTACAGTAGAACACCAACTAATAAATAATGAAAATCATATTCTACAAAATAATTGACCTGTACTCTAAAAATATTGAGGTCCAAAATGATAAAGACTGAGAAAATGTTCCAGATTAAAGGAGATTAAACCAACATGACAACTAAATGTTATGGGTGACCCTGGGCAGGGGGCAGGGGTGGAGGGAGTAAAGATAGCTATAAAGGGCATTGTTGAGACAAGTGTCAAGATTTAAATATGTACTATGGATTATAGAACAGTATTATATATCAAGGTTACACTTCCTAAATTTGATCAGTACTGTGGATAAGTATATAAAAGACTATCCTTGTTCTTAAGAAATACATACTTAAGCAGTTCAGGGTAAAAGGGCAAAAGGTAAATAATTTGTGAATCTAAATAAAGAGCGTTCCTTGTACTAGTCTTGCAAGTTTTCTGTAAATCTTTAATTGTACTCAAAATAAATAAATCCCACCCGCAGAAAACCAGGAAGTGAAGCACTAGCCCTCTGGATCCTCTGCCTGTTTGCAGAGGCGGTTGCTGATGAGGAGTTACCTTGCATATTGAATGGAAATGCTCCAGTAAAGAAAAATGGCTGGAATGCGGGCGCTGGTCCTGTAAATGTCCCATTTTGAGGCTCCAGAGACACTGGTGGCTTGGACGGAACAGAAGAGAACAGAGATCGGCTCTGACTCACTGGAGGCTGACAAACAGGACCTGGTTTTGTGCTTTCGGGTGTTCTGAGTATAGCAGAGGGGGCAGACACATCCCCATTTTGAACCAGTGCCAAAGAGGTGTGGTCTCGTGGAAAGGCCCCTAGTAGGGGAGGTTCCCCAGTGGGGAGCAATGGAGGAGAGCCATCTCCAGGGGGTGATGCGGAAGGTGTGGAGGGGCCCCCGTTCTGTAGCTGGGCCGAATCCTCTGCCACAGGGGTATAGATAAAAGGGAAGGCTGGGTTGGCCAAATAATTGGGAACAAAGGGCAGTTCTGACTCCTTCTTCATCTGAGGGAGGTTGTCACCATTGTCATCATCTTCCACTTAAAAAAAAAAAAGAAAACACAGAATCTTTACATAGTCCTTTAAAAATTACCAAGAAAAGAGTGTCTTGTGAAAGCTAGTGTTCTTTGGTATATGACAAATACTCTGGTCAGTATTTAGTGCCTCTTTAAGTCAGGAGAAAAAGAATATTTCATTATGTTTATGATGACCATTTTTATCATCTTAAATTTTACAGATTAAAAAAATAAAACCTTATGATGCCTACCTTTCCAGAAACAACACAGAATTACTATCTTGGCACAGTAATACAGTCTTTGCTTTTAGAAACAGACTGGCTGTTTGAATGGCATCAAGAATGCAGCCAATAATACCACAAGTCTTAAATTAGTTTGATAAAATCAAAAGCTGCCCCAAAACACAGACTCACCTCCCATCATCGTTTTTATTTCTCTCCTTGATGTTAATTGAACCGGCATTTCTCCTTTTGTGGTAAGAATCTCTTTGTCAGCTCCCGATTTTAACAAGTAAGAGACCACCTGACTATGATTGCGTTTACATGCCCAGTGTAAACAGGTCCTGTCCCAAAAAAAAGGGGAAAAAAGAGTGATTTAAAAAGAGGAGAGGTGATTTGGGATTTCAAATTCTACATGTTAATAAATAAAATATATGCAAGATTTCAGCTGGAACCAGGAAACCAGGCTGGTAATCTCAACTTTTCTTTACAGAAAGCAGATGATCAAAATATTTAGTATGCTTCAAATTTATTTTTAAATTTCATTTCTGGCCCTTGGGAGAAACTAATTTCTCTGGGAGCTTTAATTTCAATGGCTTCCAGAAGGCTGACAGGCTGGCTGGCTGGCTGGATAACTAATGGTATTGCTGAGTGTTAGTCTATCAGTGTTGCTCATTAGATTGTCACAATCCCTTTGAAATATATCTTTATGGTGCCACATTCCTTTTTAGGGACTATGGAAACTTGCTTTATATGTATCAGATATTACTTGAAGATTAAATATTACCAGGCCAATAACCATCTCTTATCTACAAGCTTGCTCTGCTATTAAAATTATTAGTAGTAATATAGAGAATATTCCTGTCTGAATCTCAGTTGCTTGCTCCCTTTTCTTCTTTTTCTTTCCTTTACACTCACACACACACCAAAAAACGTTTCCAAATTCCCATTTTTTAAAAAGTTGGCTTCTCTTTTTCTCTCCAGAAGGCTACAAACATACCCTCATCTGCTTAAATGTAAAGCCCCGCACAGACTTTCATTCCTAAGGCATCTTAAAAATGTGTATCAACCACCACAATTTCAAGAACTCTTCTACCATACTAGACTCATTTAAGTAAAACTAACTAATATTGTGCACATAGAGGTTATGCACACACTGAAGGGCTATTATTTTAACACTGTATAGACATATAATTAGCATGCCAGCAAAAACTCCATCCTTTTTTTTTTTTTATCCTCACCCGAGGACATTTTTCCATTTTTTGTTCAGATAGAGTGGGAGGGAGAGAGAGAAACATCGACATGAAAGGGACACATTGAGTGGTTGCCACCCACACGACCCAACCAGGGCCGGGGACAAACTGCAACCTAAGTACATGCCCTTAGCGGGAACTGAACCCGGATCTCTCTGGACTGCAGGTCGACTCTCTAACTGCTGAGCCAAACCAGCCAGAGCTCCATGTTAACAGAAATGAAAGGATTCAGAGCTACTAAATTCATCCCCAGTTATCAAAGCTGTATGATATTATGGAAGGAAAAGACTTTTTCCCACTGTTTTCAAATGTCCTCATTTACTAACTCTCTAATTGAACTGAGATAAATCTTTTTTTTTTTGTATCCTCACCCGAGGACATTTTTCCATTTTTTGTTCAGACAGAGTGGGAGGGAGAAGAAGAGAGAGAGAAACATTGACATGAAAGGGACACATCGAGTGGCTGCCACCCGCACGACCAACCAGGGCCGGAGACAAACTGCAACCGAGGTCCGTGCCCTTAGCGGGAACCGAACCTGGGTCTCTCTGGACCGCAGGCTGACGCTCTAACCGCTGAGCCAAACCAGCCAGGGCTGAACTGAGATAAATATCTTTAGAGCATATAAGCAAATACAGGTATGATAAAGAATAGAATATATATGCCCTGGCCTATGTGGCTCAGTTGAGCGTCATCTATGCACTGAAAGGTGGCCGGTTCAATTCCCAGTCAGGACACATATCCAGGTTGCAGGTTTGATTGCTGATCAGGGTATGTACAGGAGGCAACTGATCAATGTTTCTCTCTCACTTCAGTGTTTCTCTCTCTCTCTGTTTCTCTCTCCCCCTCCTCCACGTCTCCCTTCCTCTCTCTCTAAAATCAATAAATATATATAAAAGAATAGTCGTTTGGCTCAGCAGTAGAGCATTGGCCCATGGACCAATGAGTCATGGGTTCGATTCCGGCCAAGGGCACATACCTCGGTTGCAGTTCATCCTCGGCCCTGGTCAGGGTCATGCAGTAGGCAATCAGTCGATGTGTCCCTCTCACATCGAAGTTTCTCTCTCTCTCTCCCTTTCTCTCCCTCCCACTCTATCTGAAGATAAACAGAAAAATATCTTGGGGTGAGGATCAAAAAAATAAAAAGAATAGAAGATATGTTCAATAGTGAGAATTAGGTCACTCACCTGGGAGATAGAATATCTAGAAAGTTCATTTGGTTCCAGGAAAAAGCTGGGTACCCTGACATTTATGACTTACAGAATGCTAGCTTATCTGACTGGCTGGGAGCAACACCACTGATGTTTCAGAGTGACATTCTAGAATATTATTCATTAAAATTAGACTAGTCAAGTGCTTTTCAGGTACACTCTATGACAAAGTGACTGTCAATTTGGGAAAAATAAGGAAAGAGTCTTGATCTAGACTTCTACAACATAAGCTCCATGAAGATAAGGAAGAATCTGTTTGGGCATACAGGTGCTTAATTAGTATTTGCTGAATGAGTGAACCAAGACAAGATAGATATTGCTAGAAGTGGAAGGATAAAATGCATCCTTGACTCTGGGCAAACTGCAGCCAACAGTGTGTTTGTGTGCAGATGTCTATAGCATAGGCTTGGAGAGTAAGTAATTATAATAAGTGAGCACTCAAGAATGGAGCTGCCCAGCTGGTGTGCCTCAATTGGTTAATTGTTGTCCATCCCATGCACAGGGAGGTCACGGGTCCAATTCTCAGTCAAGGCTCATGACCGGGTTGTGGGCTCAATCTCTGATTGGGGGCATGCAGGAGGCAGCCGATCCATGTTTCTCTCTCATTGATGTTTCTATCACTCCCTCCTCCCTTCCTGTCTCTGAAATTAATTTATATATAAGTTAGGTTAAACTATTTTTTTAAAAAAAGAATGAATAAAGCATGATGAGAAAAATATGTTCCCTTTTGGAAATAAGTGCTCACTTGCTAATAGTAAATCATGACAAACTTGTTCATGACAAGCTTGAGAGTGAAGGAGGTAATTTACTGCCCGTGGGTTTGAGATACTATGGGACAAAGCAACTAACTAAAGTATCACCATGTAAAATGGGGTTAAGTCAACACGGCTCCCATCCCACAGCCCTGCGCCCTGACTGATCATCATTTACAGTCCAGACCTGTGTGGCTCTGAGCAGTCATAACTCAGAGCCACTGCAACCAGGCAATATTTTCAAATTCTTCCTGAGCCATTATACTTGTTCCTTAAAGCCAAGGGGTGTGCATGACACTTAAATTATAGTTGATGTGGGAGTTCTATCTTTGAACTTTAGCTCTCTAAGCTTTAAATTTGCAGTCAGAATATCCTATTAATGCTGGGAAGTATTTCAGACCAGAAGCCCTGGGCATCATTCATCAGTGCTGAAATTGTGGTTACTGAGCAACTAAGAACGAAAGCAGTAACCATTCTGCTTTTCTATGCTAGAGAGTAAGCTTTTTGAGGCTAATCTTTATACCCCATTATCCAGCACACTGCTTATAAAATAAACACAGATATAATGCTTTACATGCTGGACACTGGTCTCAAAGCAATACATATATTAACTTATTTAATCCTCTAAACAACCCATGAATTAAGTACTATTATCAAAGTTCCCTCCATTTTCCAGATAAAGAAACTGAGGCAGCCAGTAAATAAATAAGCAAAACAAATAGTATGGTTGGTGGTTATGAAGTATTGTTATTAAGTGTTATAGGGGCAATAAAGCAAGGAAAGGAATTAGGGGATAACAGAGGTAGGGGAGAGGCATGGTGCAATTTTAAATTGAGGGCCAAAGAAAGGCTCACCAAGGTCACATCTAAGCTAAGACCTAAAGGAGGTGAAGGAGCAAACACATTTTAGATGGAAGAGAAAACACAAAGGCCTTGAATCAGGGTTGTGCCTGATGTTTCAGGAAAAGCAAGGCCAGGGGAGCAGAATACAGAAAGCAAGGTGAGAAATCCAGAGATGAGGCATAGAGGTAAGGAGGGAGGATCAAGAGACAGGAGTAGTGCCCTGGCCGGTTTGGCTCAGCGGTTAGAGCGTCCGCCTGCGGTCCGGAGAGACCCGGGTTCGGTTCCCGCTAAGGGCATGTACCTCGGTTGCAGTTTGTCCCCGGCCCTGGTTGGTCGTGCGGGTGGCAGCCACTCGATGTGTCCCTTTCACATCGATGTTTCTCTCTCTCTCTCTCTTCCTCTCTCTTCCTCCTACTCTATCTGTACAAAAAATGGAAAAATGTCCTCGGATGAGGATTAAAAAAAAAAAAAAAAAAAAAAAAAAAAAAAGAGACAGGAGTAGAAACTGTAGGACTCTGTGGGCTCTTACTTAGAGTGAGATGGGAGCCATCAGAGGGTTCTGAGCAGAGTGAAATGATCCAAATTACGCTTTAAGTTAGGATCCCTCTGGCTGCTATGTTGAAAAAGATTGTTGGGGATAAGGGCAGAAGCAAGGAGACTAGTTAGGAGGCTACTGCAATGATCCAGGTGACAGAATGAGGGTGGCTCTGTGCCAGATGCGTAGTGGTAGAGCCAGTAAGAAGTGGTCAGATTCTGACTATAGCTGAAGGTGGGTCTGGCAGAATTAGCTGATTGACTGGATGTGGGGTGAGGGAAAGACCAGAAACAAGGTTAGCACTGAGGGTTCTCTGGCCTGAGCACCTCAGGTGTTTAGATGAGGAGGACACCGAGGAGCAGGGCTGGAGCCAGTTAGGGGATGAAAGCAGACCAGGAGTTCAATCTTTAATGCATTGAATTTAAGGTGCCTTTTAGGTATCTGTCCCAATAAATCTATGAGAAGCCTCTTCAGGTTACTTCAGATTCAACTTACATTAACTAAACACCGTTAAAAAACAAACAAAATTCAACTGAGTAAATTTGAAGATCTAATTGACCTTATTAAATAATTCATGAATCGGGCAGCATCCCATCTAGCAAATAGAAGGGCGCTCCAAGCTGTACAAAATGAAAGGTCTTTATAGGCAGAAATTGAGCGGGACAAGAAAGTTATGGGCATATGGCAAGAATGGATCTTTTTTCCCCAGGCAAGTGCATTTTTCTTTGGGAGCAGCAGGACTCTTACTAGGTAAATAACCTCAACAGTGTTGATCAGGTAATTCCTAATCTGACTGGTTTAAGGTCACATTTCTGGGAGGGGCTGAAACTGCAATAAAGTCTTGGTTTACTGTCCTTGGGCCTATAGTTCCTTTTTTCAAACAGTACCTATAATGTGGCAGGCACTATGGTTAGAAAATTGGGGTCTGGAGTCCGATGGTTGGCTCATTTCCCAGCTCCACTAGTTACTGTACTTAATCTTTTGGGCCTCAGTTTCCTCATCTGTAAAATGGAGAGAATAACCAAAGCTAAGTCCCTGAGTAGTTGTGAATGACAATACATGTAAAGTGCTTAGAACCTCATTTGTGCTACTGAGTAAGCTCAGCAAATGTTAGCTATTTATATTATACCTCATCTCGTTAGATGCTCACAACACTCTTCTAAAATAATTGGAAAATGAAGTGACTCCAGGAAGTTTGAAGAGCTAGGCAGGAATGGAGAACCTGCAGGAACGACCAGGCTCATTCATCTACACAACACTGCCTCCCAGTGCCAGAACAGTGATTCACAGCTTGTGTACCACCCAACAATACTCAGAACTAACAGCAAGCTTGTTTGCAAACACTTTTAAACAAACCAAAACAGCAGTATCCAGTTTCCTGGCTTTCTCAACAGCTACTCAGGCATTTTTCTTTAGGATAAGGAGGAAGACAGATTTGTGAGGAGTCAGGAAACCGGTTCCTAGTCCTGGCTATGACATTAATAGTTGTGAGACCTATGGCAAGTTATTCTCTGGGGTTGATCCCATCTCCAATCTCCCTTACTGTTGCAAATGTATGATTCCACTTAAAAAAAATAAAACATTTGCAAACTCACTTTAACTCTAAGCTAGCAAAATAGGCAGGATCAAATAAAAACTGAATTTAAACGTGAAGAGGGGACAATACCACATTCAGTACCTTAACACTAAAAATTTGACCACCAGCACATCTCAAAATGACTCATTTAATTGGGAAGGAATCAGTTACAGGCAGGTATCTAACGCCTTGGATCAAATTCTCTATTAGAAACTGTAACAGGAAAACAAAGCAAAACACTGTAGAATAGATGAATGAGGCTTCCCTCCACACGCAGCTGTAGGCAGCAGCAATCACTGCTGCAGAGACAATAGAGAAGCAGAACAGTGATGCAAGTGATTTTATTTCTGGTCTTGAGAAAAGAAATCGTGCTAGTTTATAAGATTCGTATTTGCTCAGTTACTTATGCTTTTTGCTCCACAGATGTGTTCTGCAAAAGCACCTAGGGCAAAACAATTCAACAATTGAACTGGGGTGAACTCCAAATTAGCGTGAGAACCATAGCCAGCACCGCTCAGGCCAAGTTAGCCAGGGGTCGAGTGGGCGCTGCCCGGGGAAGACCACGTGGGCCAGGATTTCGGCAGGCAGCGCGGCCCACGACACCAGACAGGGAGACCGGGGCTGGCCTCGAGAACGCACAACCTCGGAGGCCCCAGGCCACGCCATAATTGGCGTCCGAGGTCACGGGCGACCGCCCCACGGCAAGGCCCGCTGCTCTGACCCTGGTCTTCCCCCGCTCCCCACTTACCAGCCGTTGACCTCATTTTGAGAGTTCACATCCACCCCGCTCTCCACCAGTTTCTGCACCTCCCGAATGTCCCCCAAGGCCGCGGCCTCCCGCAGCCTCTCCTGCTGCTCCTTCTGCTCTAGGAGAGCGCTCATCTTCCCCGCGGCCCCAGGCCCCCGCCCGCCCTGCCCCGGGCCTGTCAGCGCCGCCGCCGCCGCGGACCGCTCCCGGCCATGGGGAGAGAGCGCGGGGCTCGCCCGCCCTGCTCGCGCCGCCGCCCGCGCCCGTCCCGGGGCTTCGGCTCCCTCTCGCCGCTCCCCCGCTGCTCCCCGCCCGCAGGCCCAAGCCTCCTCCCCGGCCGCGCCTCCCGCAGGCCCGCTCCGGGGGACCCTATTCGGAGTGACAACCCTGACCCAGATATTTTCCGTTCCTACCCCCGGTCCCGGCGCCGGGGCCGGCTGTTTATGTAACTGCTTCACAACATTATCTGTCGTGATTCATCGACTATTTTTAGACCTTTCCACTCCCACAGCTTCAAGGGAGGAGGCCAGACACATAGAAATTTTTAAAAAGCACATTTGAGAGCCAGAAAAGCCTTATCCTTTGGCGCAAGCTGTTTACCAGGCATCACAAATAACTGGTGGGTTTTTTCCCTCCAGTTCCTTTGGCTCTTTTTCCTTATTTGCGCCAACTCTTGCCCAGCAGGATGGGGAAATGGGCTGAAAAGCGATCCTATTATTATATGTCCATTATTGCAGAGATAGATTACACTGTTCTTTCTTCTTTTGACAGTGCTTGGGACCATTTAGTTCGAATATTTCTTTCTATTGCCGTTGTTTTACATCTCATTTCTTCTAACAGGAATTTCTTCTAACTCAGCTTTCAGGGAAAATATTTATATTGTGCCTAGAATCCATAAACTGTAAGTTATTACTGCTTATAAATCATAATTAATTACTCTTCATGAAGGCCATGTAAGGGGAAAAAAAGAAAGAAAAGAACACCAAAGAAGCTTTTTGGAGCTATCCTGGTCCTGATGCCAGGAGCTCCAGGGAAAGCTATGGTGTGGATATAAACAGCACTTGGCCTGACTCTGCCTAGTCAATCTAATGAGGCTCCAAGCCTGGTTGGCACTGCTTTACTACCCAGTGGGCTAAAAGGAAGATATTGTTTTGCCGAGCTCAGGTGCCTCTGAGAGATTTTCCAGTGTCACAGGATGGAACCTTGCAGATGGGGTCAGGAGGATTAAGGAAATAACCCTGCAGTGAAAAGGAGGAAGGCCTGAACAAAGAGAGGAGATGAACTAGGAAGGGACACATTTAGGCATGGAGTTTTCATTTTCTTCTCTTGGGGCTGCCCAGGGCCTGCACAGCAAGCTTTTTTTTTCTTGCTAGAGTTTAAGAAAACCAACAAGTCTGTTTATTGTGATAGGATAATCCACACAGTAACAGTGCACACCAGGTGGTGCTGAATATAAACTAACTGCTCACTGAAATTGACCTCCAAGGCAAATTGGCACTCTGAGCTTACATTTTTATTTGTCCCCCAATTTAAAATTTAATTCTCAGATCCAACATGATACTTCATCTGAACTGCCTTGCATGACACTGAAATTGGGTCCTTTAACACTATCTGAGTGACAGGGAAGTAGGTAGTAGCCTCTTTTTCAAAAAAGCAGTTTAAAAAATTTGGTAGTGACTGTGCTAAAAAAACTGTGAGCTCTTATTATAAGAATTTGTTTGTCAAATATCCCTTTCTTCAAAGGATTATAGCATGTGCCCTAGTATGACTGTTGAATCAGTGAATATTAATGTCTCCTTAAACTCATCCTCTAATTACCTCTAACTCCAATCTTTTACTTGTTATCCTTACATATAAAAATAAAAGCAAGACCGGCCTGTGTGACTCACTGGTTGAGCGTCAACCCCTGCACCAAGAGGTCACTGGATGGATTCCCAGTCAGGGCACATGCCCAGGTTGTGGGTCAAATCCCTAGTGGGGGGCATACAGGAGGTGGCCATTCAATGTTCTCTCTCATCGATGTTTCTATCTCTCTCTCCCTCTCCCTCCCTCTCTCTCTAAAAAAAAAAGTCAATAAAGAAAAAATTTTTTTTTAAATATTCTAGGCCCTGGCTGGTTTGGCTCAGTGGTTGGAGCATTGGCCTGTAGACCAGAGAGTCCCGGGTTCAGTTCCCGCTAGGAGCACATACCAAAAAAAAAACTTCTAAAAAATAAAATACAATAAAATAAAAACAAAAGCAAAACCTTTTCCACAAGCAACATTTCTAATCCTGGCCATAACTGAATGGAAGCCAATGGCTATTCTGTTGCTTCCATTTATTTATATTTTGTCTTTAAATTATATATATTATTTATATTTTATTCAACTCAATGGAATTAGTAAGCTGGCACCTTTTTGCTGGGCACTGTTCTAGTCACCGAAGATGCTGCTGCAAACAAATCAGCGCTGACTTCAAAGAATACACAGTCTATCAGGAAAGAAGAGGGAAACAACAGAATGTGATAAGTATTACAATAGAAACAGTTTGGCATATGGCATAGTGGTTGTGAGCATAGAGAGTGAAACCAGATTGCCTCTGTTTCCCCCACTGATTCCCCCCTCCCTCTCCCAGATTGCCTGTTTGTATCCCAGCTTTGTCTTTTATATAATCTTGGATGAGCTATTTAATCTTTCTGTGCCTCAAATTTTGTATCTGAAAAATAGGGATGATAATAATAGTATCTATTTTGCAGGATTGTTCTATGGAATGAATGAATGCATATGTGTAACGCCTACATCGGAAACAATGGATCATAGGTATGTTCCAACAAGTTTAAGTCAAGAAAGAGCCCCTGATAGGATTGGAGGGCAGTGGTGGTCAGGAAACAAAGATAGCACCCAGGTTTCTGGCTAAGTAGATAGAGCTGCCATTTACTGAGATTTGGGACAAAGCATGAAGAGAAGGTCTCAGGTACAGTGATTAATTCATTTTTTAGTCTGTTGAATTGAGCTTTCTGAAGACCTTTTATTACTACTATTGCTAGGCACTACTACTATGCTAAGTGCTGCACATGAATTATCTATGAATTATCTCATTTAGTACCCACAACAACTCCATGATGATGATGATGATGATGATGATGATGGTGGTGGTGATTTGAGGCACAGAGAGCAAGTAACTTGCCTAATGCCAAGCAGCTTAGTGACGGGGCAAGACTTTGAACTCAAGCAGTTAGACTCGAGAGCCCGTGCTTTCTTTTCTGATTTTCATTTAAGTGGAGATGCCCAGTAAACAGTTATGTATGGGTATGGTATTTAGGAAGGAGTTCTGGGGTAGTGATATGGATTTGGCTGTCATCAGCAAAAGGTGCTAGCCGAAGTTATGGGAAGGGAAGAGATGGCCCCAAGACAGTGTATCGAGTGCTGAGAGAAGACAGCCAAAGATAGAACCCAAAAAATACCCAACATTTTAATGATGGACAGAAGAGGAGAAATCCTCAAATGAGACTGAAGAGGAGCAGCTGGAATAGTAGGAGGAAAAGCAGAGGAGTAAGAGGGTGTGAAGGGAAAAAAAGTGATCCACAGGGCCAAATCCTATAGAAAAAGCAAGAAAAAAAAAGGACCAAAAAGTATAGAATGGATTTATCCCCAAGGAGGTTGCTGGTGACTGTGGAAAGGGAACTTGCCATGGAATGGTGGGGATGGCAGCCAGACTATCAATGGGGTTAGGAGTGAATCAGAGCTACCTCCTACATGTTATATATTGTGCCAGAATCTGAGAATACAAGGATGAATAAGAAATGTGTCTAACGTAAAGGAACTTGCACATAGTTCTGGCAGCTCAAAGTCCAAGATCAAGGTGTCAGCAGTTTTGGTTTCTCCTGAGGCCTCTCTCCTTGGCTTGCATATAGTATAGCCTTCTTGCGGCATCCTCACACGGTTTTTCCTCTGTGTTGCGCATCACTGGTTTCTCTCTGTGTGTCCAAATTTCCCGTAAGGACACCAGTTAGATTGATTTGGGACCCAGTCTAAAGGCTTCATTTTAATTTAGCCACCTCTCTACAGTCACATTCTGAAGTATTGGGGATAAGGCCTTGAATTCTTTTCTTTTTTTATCCTCACCCGAGGACATTTTTCCATTTTTTGTCCAGATAGAGTGGGAGGGAGAGAGAGGAAGAGACAGAGAGAGAGAAACATCGACGTAAAAGGACACAACAAGTGGCTGCCTCCCACACACACAACCCAACCAGGGCTGGGGCTGGGGGCAAACTGCAACCAAGGTACATGCCCTTAGTGGGAACCGAATCTGGGTCTCTCTGGACCACAGGTCAACGCTCTAACCGCTGAGCCAAACTGGCCAGGGCACCTTGAATTCTTTTCTATCCATTTTGCTTGGCTGGAGTCTTACCACCTTTTATGTCTTAAGTCATTTCCACAGAGAAGCTTCTCATTTGCTCTTTGTCAGACCCCTGCTTCAAGAGCTAGTGATTAAATTGACTCAAAATGTGTTGGGCCTCTTTTTCATGCCTCACATTGTATCAATTCATTTAATATTCACAATAACTTCATGTGTGTAGGGGACTATTATTATCATAAGCCCCATTTTGCAGATAGGGAAAGGAAGACAGAATGACAGAGCTGGGATTACTAAACCAGGGATCTGGCTTTCGCATCCGTACCTTTAATTTACTATGACTTATTTTAACATATTTGATATTATTTCTTTAGTGACTGTCTCCCTCACTAATACTCAAGGTCTGCGGGAGCAGGGGCCGTCTGAAAGGTTCAGAGTTTAGCTTCAAGAGCTTACCTGGCACGTAGTAAATAGTCAGGTAATTGTTAAATAAATGTATCAACAATTTTTTTTTTTTGGTATGTGCCCCTAGCAGGAACAGAACCCGGGACTCTCTGGTCCGCAGGCCAACACTCCAACCGCTGAGCCAAACCGGCCCGGGCAGTGTATCAACAATTTAAAAAATATTCCAGACTGGGAAGCATCAGGTACAGGACAGAATCTCTGTATTCTGCGCTACGTTGTAGGAACCGCATTATCTCTGCCTTGCTTTCCCACCCAGTGAATCAGGGCAATCGGGGTGCGAGGACCAAGCCATGTAGAAAAGGCGCGAGCGCAGTGCCGGGAAAAATGGAGTCTGA